TAGTCCGACAATGGCGTGGCCCAAGGGCGCCCCCAATCTGCCCCCTGCGACCGCACGCAACATAATCGTATAAAAGCTGATTCGCTGGGAAACTTTTAGGTTATATAAATATGCTTATTTTATACTAGTAAATATGCATGTGCGATACGCACGTGTTTCTAAAAACTATTTCAAATGCAATGCAAATGTTAATTGAATTGTCGATATACAATAAAGGTAGATGACAAGTGATTGATCGATTTGTTTGGGTCGTGTAGAACAAGGTTTAAATCGTTTGTTCGCTAGGATGCCTTAGCTGCATATATCGATACACTTTGACTTGTCGCCTTTATAAACGTCACGTGTTATCCCTATCTTACCCTATTTCCATACTTCTGTTGTAACGACCCAAATTCGCTACAACCACCCAGACGCTCAATCTTGGACAATCGGCAGAGTCCTTGCACAAATCGGACGAGCATGAAGTTAATAGTAGTCAGCGCACTCACTAGGAAGCACATTATCATAACCTAAATTGTCATTGGTCAGGTTGCTAACCCTTGGAACAATGGAAGTAACCCTAATCGTCAAATCTTAAGTGCTTGGATCAAGTCCATGAGTTCAGAGACGTGATACCGGATCATCCGCCAGTAACTGAACTGCATGCAGTGAGTGGGGAATGAGCTGTCCTCCACTCTACCCTTGGCCCCACCTGTCATATGCAGGAAGAGGAAATATCAAGTCTCAGCTGATGCAGTACCAACCCATTTCACTCTCCCATTTCTCACCCTCTCCCTCTCTCTCTAGAAGAACAAGAGTGAGTAAGAACTAGAGAGAAGATGGAGGTGGAAGATAAAGTGAAGGAATGCAACCCAAAGCCATCAACTCATCAAGGTCAAGCCATCCTTATCTCATGATCATGGTTAGCTTATGAGCTCTCATCTCTTTAGTTGAAGATTTCTCTCAAACCCTATTCTCAATCTCTCATGCATGTATGAATCATGGAGTGTGGTGACCTCTCATTCACCACTAAGGCAAGATGTGTTCAAGCCCTTATCAAGGAGTCTAGCATCTCAGGGATCCCTATCTTGGAGTAAGCTTTCTTACTCAATCTCATGTATTGGTCACAAGTGGATCATGGGAAGAGATTTAGTCAAGCCACTAGATGCACTAGTTAGCCAAGAACTCAACTAACCTCACCCTAGCATATCCCTAAGATCATCCTAGATGTCTAGCACACATGCATGGATGTTAACCAACCCTAGGACATAGAGCAAAGGTTCTGTCGCCCAGTTGGCAGAGTGTCCGCCGATGCGGCGGAGTGTCCGATAAACCTCCCTAGAGGCACCTAGACTACTACGAGCGTGAACAATGGAAGGTCCGACTATCGATCGGAGTATCCGCTGAATTATAAAGACTCACAGCTAGAGAACCCGAGAGCACTTAGTTTCTACCGGATTGTCCGTCACACACTTCGGGGCATTTGAGGAATTATATACACTGAGTAACCTAGTAACCCGAGAGTGATGTCAATGAAATCTCACTACCGGAATGCCCAGCTTTTGCCGTGTGTCCACGGCATACGGTGAAGCTGTAGCACCCGGTTTTAAGGACAAAATCAGATACACACCATATGTGAGCCCAGGAAGTCAAATCTCACATATAGCTACAAATAAGGGTAATATCAATAGATAATACTTAAATACATAACGTATTAGTATAAAGAATATAAACTCAGAGTATAGACAGCGGAAAGACAACTCCGATCTTCAGGCGAAGACTCCAAATCCACAGGGACAACTGACCGGTTGACCACAAGCCTAACTCCTCCAGACTAGCAATCTGGTACCCATCTGGGATTTTTCTAAATATGTGAAATATAAAGCAAGCGTAAGTACATGTCGTACTCAGCAATATAACATGGGGTTCGTGAGGCTCAAAAAGTTGACACTGGTTTACTGTGATTAGCTTTTAATAGGTCATCTTTTCAAGCAATTGAGTAGCAACGAATTTATCATAAGCCCATAAACACATGATCAGGTAAACATGAATAATGAATAGCATAAACAATTAACCATTAGTGATCATCTCTATTCCATAAGGGTTCCAAGGCCGCTCGTGTCCGTGAGCACGGCTGTTATAACAGTTTCACTCTACAGAGGTTGTACACTTTCACTGTGAGTCGTGATTTACCCTTTCGCCCGAGGTGATCAGCCTCTTGACCCACTACCAAGGAAGGTCGACAGGGTTTACTATGAAGCCTTTCAAAGGTTCATCTAACAAGTTAGGGCCGCTAAGGTTTCCCCATCAATAAGCATGAACCCCCCTCCAAGGAGTGACTAACAAAAGTGCACCCCCTTGGTAGGCCAAGATCATACCTATCGGAGCATCTCTTGCACCATAAAGGTAACCACTAACAAACTAGAAAAGGTCCTCATACTGAGCTAAAGCCATAGCCATATAGCCCTCACAGTTGTATTATAAGTCCCGGATGATCACTTACAGATAAGTCCTTAGGGAGGGAAATCTAGAGCATTTAGAAAGTAGCTGAACACTCCAGCCCCATGTTTCCTTGTTGCTAAAAAGTCATGTTTTAATGTTTATTGCATATACCATTAGTCAAGTTACAAGATCATGATTTTGTTTAAGCACTAGCAAAAACTATCCAATGCAATAACCCAAAGGTATCAAGGAATCCAGGATATCAATTAGCTAGGGAAATTACTACAGTTGCCAAGGTGGACACATGCAACATGAATTAAATGATTAAAGGTAGATAGGTATCAAGGATAATCCCATGCTATACTTGCCTTAAACTCATATCAGATCTTCTTCTGGTCCAAATCTTCCAAGAACTGCTTTTGGACTCACCACGTATAGCTCACCGACTGGACTTGATCATAGAACACCACACAAGCATCCAAACAGACATGCATAACATACATACATAGCTATATTAGAACAATACACCAACTAGTGGAAAAAGGATTTGAAACAGATCTACGTATTGCTACGAACACACTGACGCGGGAAGCACGCTAATCGGAGCTACGGTTGAAAAGATACATCTACCAGAAGATTTTGCTTATAAAACGGAAAACCATAAGCTTTATTTATTTTATTATATAAAAACATGTATATGATATTTTAGAGAAAATTCTTAAGTTGAATTAAGTCAAACTTATATTTGGTTTTAAAAATCGAAGTGCAATTTATTACATTTTATTCATAAGTCTAGTGACATAATTATTATCCAAGTTGGAATTTAAACCATGAAATTCCAGAGATTTGACATAGAAAACATTGATACTAATGCGTAGGTCACGTTGTTATGAATCCAACATAACTTGAACAGACTTTTTCGGAGTTAAAATGAATAAGTCCTAATTTAAACAAGTTTTCCTTTAGTTAAATAATAGATTAAATCTACCCATGAATTTTAGATATTGAAAACATGCCTAACAGTAGTATAAACACGTAGAAAACGTAAATACGGTCCTAACACAATTCGAACGGGTCAAATCGAACTTAAAACACAAAAGTTATGCATGAAATAAAGTTCAATGGCATTTTTGTAAATAACTCGAGCTCATTTTTGAATTAAAACAATTAAAATATGAATTTACATGGATTTTGGACTGCGCGCACTATTTCTGGAAACTACAGGGTCTAAAGTGAATAAAAACAGGATTGAAATGTATCTATTTTGAATTGATCTGGACTACAGGTTAATTTACTGAAAACCGAGGGGCTTATCTGCAAAACGTGTACGGCTGACCGCGTGTTGACCGGGGCTGCTGACTAGGCAGAGACATGGACGCACGTGATTGGCGCGGTGCACCACGTGGTGTGGGTGCGTACTGACGCGGCGCGGTGGACCGAGTCCACAACTGTAGTGGACCGATTACACATCAAACCGGTACGGTTCAATCGTAGCCGTCCGTGCAAGATCTGGCGGTGCTGGTTCGTAGGCACGGAGGGATCGCCGGGGAAGACGACCCCCGTGGCCAACGACATGGCCGGCGGCGATTCAAACTCGGCCGCAGACGCCGGGATGGTTATTCCGGCCATCCCAAACCAACCCGAACCCACGGACGTGAAGCGCAGGACCTTGTGAACTCAACAAAGCGCAAACCTAGGGCGGGGAACGCACCGGAGCGACGTCCCGTGGCTGCGCCATGGGCGGTGGCGACTGGTGCTCGCCGATACGGCGTTCTAGTGCGTTATTCGATGAACGGAAAGTACGGGGAGAACGAGCAGCTCACCTTGAGTCGATTGGAAGGGATCACGGCGTCCGAGAGGGCTCCAAAGGCACGGGTCAACGGCGGCGGCGACTGGAGAGAGAAGAAAGGGTGTGGGTTAGGGGAAATCCAAGCGATTCAAGACCAATGCAAGGAATTGAAGCCACCTACGGTTGCGTTGGGTCACGGCGGAGCTTCGGGGGTCATCAGCGTCGAGGATTGAGGCGCAGGAGCGGTGGATTGCCGGCGGCGGTGAGTGAACGTGAGCGTGGACGGAGGAAAGGGGAGAGGGAGAGGGTCCGGCTCGGGTTTTGTAGGCGGGCAGGCGCTGCGGTAGAAGGAAGGGGAGCGGGGCGCGGCGATTTTGGTCGCCTTCAATGTAGGCGCGGCGTCGGCGACTTGCCGAGCATGGCAACACCATCTCCGGCGGTGAGGAAAGGAAGGTGAGCACGCGGGGAAGGAAAGGGGCGTGGCCGGCTGACAGGTGCGGCCAGCGACGCAGCAAGGGAGAAGGCAGCGGACGAGCGCGATGCGGTCGTGGGCGCTGCAGGGCAGGCCGATGTGGGCCGGGGTGCCGAGCTGGGCCGCGCGAGCGATGCAGCAGGCGCGCGAGCGGTGTGGTGGAAAGGCGCGGAGCGGGCCGACGCGGAACGGGCCACGTGGACAGGGAGGCGGGAAGGAGGGTATCTCGGGAGTCGAGTTGAAACCCATTTCACTGAATCTAACAGGTGGACCTGCTGGGATGCAATTGAGTTGGGGAGGCATTCAGAACAGCATACGATGGATAATACGCAGGTATAGTTTCATTCACAGCTGCTGGGATGCAATTGAGTTGGGGAGGCATTCAGAACAGCATACGATGGATAATACACAGGTATAGTTTCGTTCACAGCATTGTTAAAATATGTCGACATATAAGTTCCCCAAGAAAATATTACTAATTGATGTGCTTATTATATGTTTGAAGGAAAATGGAGTTCAGCAAATACAAGATCCTATAATTATTGATTTGATAGTCGAGCAGGATCTGAGGGGTATCCTAACTGATGCTATTAAATTGATGATTCAGAAGACAAATTTCAAGGGCCGGTTTGAATCAACATGGGAGCAGTTCTCTGGATCAGAGTGAGTAATGTCTTTTTTAAATTCACTGAATCCAAGTCTAATATTTTTTTTAAATCGCATGTCTAATATTGATGTATAATCTCTGCTGTTCTCTTTCTTGATTTGATAATTGATAAAAGTTTTAATTGCAATCTACTTGTTCTTGGTATACAAAAGGTTTAGGGTTGTCCATCTTCAATATTATGTACTGTGATGGCTTCTATGTAACTTTTTGACTAACAAGGATTTCATTTAATTCTAGACCCAAAGATGATGGGGCCAGAATTCTATTTCCTTCTGGAGACACAGATGTGCATGTGGCAGTAGAACCAGAAGCAGCCGCCATGCCGGTTGCAGAAACAGAAGCAACACCCATACACGTGGTAGGAAGATTTATTGAGAGTGATTATGGTATAAAGTTGATTGAGGAGGGTCTGAGAAGTCTTGAAGGAGAAAAGTGGGTTTTTGATGAAGTCATTGACTTTGTCTATTCTGAGTTCTCATCACAATTCATGTCCATGCAAGATTTCTTATTTGTTCAGCCAAGTATTGCCCATCTTATGACAAACTTGCCAGCAGATTCTAATCCTTTACGCACATTAGATCCAGGCAACAACAATCTACTGTTGTTTCCGGTGAACAATAATGAGGAGCATGAGCTGGGGAGACGGGGGCACCCATTGGAGTTTGGTCGTGCTTCGTGTTGACAGGAGTCAGAATCAATGTCGGTTTGTCCACCATGACAGCATTGTAAACATGAATCGAGGTGCAGCAAAACGCCTGGTTGGGAATCTGAAACGATTATTTCCATCGTTTCATTCAACATTCATCGAGGGACAAACCCCACAGCAGGCAAATGGATACGACTACGTTGTGCTTGTAATTGCTCTGTCATACAAGATAGTCTGCTGGTGGAACAAGGTAAAGAGTGGACAAAAGACAGACACAGATTGGTTTGATGTAGTTTCCAAGGTTAATTCCAAGATGGTTAGTGACAGAAGACGGCAGATGTTTGCGAGGTTAAAGAAGAGGTTCGACTACTGACCCAGGTAATTAATTGGCTACTTGTATCATATATTATTTTCAAACTAAGTGCCTACCCTTGTGATCTTTTATACTCATGATTATTAGTTTTTTTATCCACTAGTCAGTAGCTAGCCGTCACAGCAGGCAAATGGATATGACTCTGGTGTGTATGTAATTGCTCTGTCATACAAGATAGCCTGCTGGTGGAACAAGGTAAAGAGTGGACAAAAGGCAGACGCAGATTGGTATGATGCAGTTTTCAAGATTAATTCCAAGATGGTTAGTGACAGAAGATGTTTGAGAGGTTAAAGAAGAGGTTCGACTACTGACCCAAGTAATTAATTGGCTACTTGTACCATATATTATTTTTAAACTAAATGCCTATCCTTGTGATCATTTATACTTATGATTATTAGTTTTTTTTATCCACTAGTCAGTGCTAGCCGTCACTTTCCCGACATGTGCTTATCAAATGCTTTTGCAATCTGCTTGTTGTTGTATTTAGTGCATTTGATTTGTCTTCTCGGTCATATATGGGTGTTGCTTCTATTCCTGCCACCTGTATGGGTATGGGTGTTGCTTCTATTCCTGCCACCTGTATGGGTGTGCCACCTGTATGGGTGTTGCTTCTATTTCTGCAACTGTTTCTGCACCAGCATGGCGGCTGCTTGTGGTTCTACTGCCACATGCACATCTATGTCTCTAGAAAGAAATGGAATTCTGGCCCCATCATCTTTGGGCCTAGAAATAAATGAAATCCTTGTTAGTCAAAAAGTTACATAGAAGCCATCACACTACATAATATTGAAGATGGAATTTGAAGATGTACAACCCTAAACGTCATGGTCTTAAGATTATATGCAAGAACTATTTTCTCATCTATAAAACGATTAATCTCATACTGAAGACAGAAACCTAATAGCATTCTCATGCTAATTAAAATAGGCTTGCACTCAATAAGAAATATCAGCAATAGCTGCTAATTTTTGTAGTACGCAAAACTATAATGCAGCCAAGCTGGAGACACCTCTAAAACTTAACTATGAGCAGGCATGACTGATATACCAATAAACAATGTACTTTATTACATTGCTTTTATATGCATTAGCAGTACTCTTCATGGCTTTCATATTGCAGAAACAAAAACAGAAGGGGCATTTAGACATGCACAAGAAACTTTTCACGGATTCTGTTGCTGGCAGGGGTGTCTTTTTTATCTCATTGCGATGATTCAGGGTAGACTTAGTTCAGTGGGTGAAATGCTTTAGTAATCTCGTGAACAATTTTTCTACAACTTGAAAACCCAAAAAAGGGCTAAGGAATGTATGAAGATTTTATATGTGGGTAAGGAATAGATAATCAATTAATCCTCGATGAGATCTACCTTGTACTGCAGAAGGATGAGAGGTCGGGAGCTGAGAGCTGCTGGTGGTCGAGGTGGGTCGGCGTACGGTAGAGCTCGTCGAGCCGGCATCAGCATCATGGCCCCACCTCATTCATCTGCGATGCTACAGGAGGTCGCCGATGCAGGTGTTGTTGCTCGCCGCCGCTAACTCCAGGGCTCGCACTCGCCGCCGCTGCTGCTGCCTCCTCCAGCTGCTGCTGCCACCTCCAGCTGCATCCTCCCTCTGGATCCGAGCCCGCGCCGCCACCGCCTGGATCGATGCCGCTCCACCAGATTTGCGTGCCGCCGCTGCAGCTGCCTCCTCCCGAATCCACATCGCGAAAGGCGCCGCAGCCTCGTCCTGCCGAGAGTTGGCACCACCAGAGCCCTCCCACCAGATCCACGCACGGGGCGGCGCAGTGGACCGGTGGAGGGGGCGCGGCCGCGCTTTGCGGACGGGGTGGAGGCGCGGGGGCGGGCCTGGTGCGGCGGAGCAGGGGTCGGGACTTTGGGGCTCAGGAGACAAGGGAGACCACATATAGCTAGGGTTCAAGAAGGGCAGCCAAGAAGACCATCTGATCAAGAATCGACGGCCAGGAGACCATGGGCTGAGTAGGCCATTGCTGTTGGGCTACTGGCCTGCATAGTAATGGGCTGAATTACACTCTTTTTTTCTAAAAAAATTGTGAACTCTAAATTAAATAAGAAATAATTTTTAAACTATCAATGAATTCAAATAAAAAAGTCATAAATAACAAACTTTTATAAATCATCGAGATCTACAACTTTTGTTTCGGTAGAGAGGCGTGTAATCAAGAACAGGAAGGCAACAGAGACACACGAGTTAGAAGGTTCAGGCCGTCAGTATGACGTAATACCCTACTCCCGTGGTCTGTTGGATTCTATTGGCTATCGTATGATATTGCGTGAGTTTAGAGAGGGTCCCTGCCCGCCTTATATAGTCTGGGGGCAGGGTTACAAGTCGGTTAGATCTAGGAGATAACCGGAATATAATAACATATTACAGGAATCATGGGATCATACGTATCCTAACAGATCTCGTAGAATCTTCAGGATATCTTCCCGGTGTCTTGCCGGAGACGCCGAGCAGCGTCGTGCCCTTCAAGGCTTCATCTTGCGGGCTGGGCCACCCTAGAGGGCACAGCCCATGTGGTCTGCCGTGGGTATCCGGGGTCGTACCCCCACAGCTAGTCCCCGAGCGCCTTGTATCCATTATGCAACGTCGTCTTGAGCTTATCCGAGAAGGTACGAACAAAGCCGAGCAGTCAAACTCATGGTCCGACCACCGTGATGAGTTGTCGAGCAGTTGTGAGTAGTTATCGAGCAGCGTGAACCATCGCCGAGCAGTGTGAACCATCGCCGAGCAACGTGAGCCGTCGCCGAGCAGTGTGAACCATCACCGAGCAGTGTAACCCAAGTACTGCTTGCTATAAGGGTGTAAGGAGCTCAAGTTCATAATCGAAAATTTCTTCGTAGTGGACCAAGTGTGCCCACTTAGAGTCCGACCACGAGAAAGGGCGATAGTCTTCTTCAGCTTCAAGAGGCGTGGAGTCTTCCAGAATAAAGCAAACACATTCACCGCGAGGTGAAGTGTGCCCACTTAGTCCTCGAGCCTAACAGTAGATAACGTAGTCATGTGGTGCTAGAATCCAAAGTAGAAGAAAAGTAGAAGACCAGCCGAGCAGACAGCCAGTCCGGGCGTAGCCCCGAAATAAGAAAAAGCACATTCACCGTAAGGTGAAGTGTGCCCACTTAGTCCCCGAGCCTAACATTAGGTGATGTGGTCATGTGGTGACAGGGTCAGAAACAGAAGTCAACAGAAGAAAATCCCTAATGTGGTGAGGAACCGAGATGTAATGTTGACGTAGTCCCCGAGCCACAAGAGAAAATCTTGGAGAAAACAAATCGCGAAGAAAATACTAGAGTAATGGCTGTACAGTAGTAATTATTGAGCCATAACGGTTGGCGGAGAAGTCAACGAATATTCGATGAGCCGTAACATATTACGGAGATAAATGGGCGATACGGGCCGTGGTTGCACGAAAGCCTAGGTAACAACCCACCTTGCTGTTGCGGAGAATTCGGAGAGGCACAAATCATGGGAACAGTTTCCCAAAAACCCTCGAATGCAAAAAGCTAGGGGGAGTGCTTTATAACTGCGCCGCCACACCTCGTGCTCCCACCTTTGCCACTTTGCCATTTCATCTTCCTCCTTAGCCCTCGCACTTCCAGATTCAAATCTACGCGTGATTCGCCACCAGCCCCAGTTCGGATCTCAGAGATGGTGCCTAAGAGGGGAGTTGTGAAACCAAAGAAGGCGAGCCCAAAGAAGGTGAGCGCTGGAGCCAACCGTGACGAAGAGTGGGTGCCATCATGCACGAGGGAGGTAGAGCTCAACAGATTGGTGGATGCGGGCGTTCTTGCAGACCGCGTCACCGCTGGATGGCGGCCAGCCAGCGGTGAGCCCTTCCCAATGCCTCATACTGATGAAGTAGTGGTGTTTGAGGATTATTTCTAGCGCGGGTTTAGATTTCCTGTTCATCCTTTTTTGAGGGATCTGTTGGAGTTCTGGGCACTTAGTTTGTGCAATCTCCACCCAAACACCATCTTTCACATCTTGATCTTTATCCACTTCTGCAAAGCGTATCTAGGGATTCTTTCGCACTTCAACCTCTTCAGACACCTATTTTGGTTGAAGAAGAAGGGCGGCGGTGGTTCCAAGGTGGTCGGCGGGGTGTATCTTTAGCTGCGCAATGGAATGGCAGGCAAGTACCTTGCTGTGCCGCTGAACACATTACTGAAGGGGTGGAACGCTAGGTGGTTCTATATGAAGCAGAGCCACCCTGCCGTTCGCTGCGACGCCGACCACATCCTGGAGAGCCAGAAAAGCTGGTCGGAGAGGCCGAGCAATGCCGACATAGAGTAGGTGGGGGACCTCCTCGACCTAATAAAAGGTGTGGAGATGAACGATGGACTGGTAGGGGCGAGCTTCATAGTGCGCTGCGTCTAGCCCTGCAAGGAGAGGGCCCACCCGGGCTTTGACTTCAAGGGCAACGACGATGGCACCCAGGAGAGACCAGAGAGGCTGACGAGGGATGTTGTACTAGAGCGGGCCATAGAGCTATTCGCTCCAAATGCCTCATTCAGCGTGTTAAGGCAGACGAGGGCCTTCAACTGTACAAATTTGCCTCCTCAGGTAACTGTCCTAATTGCTTTGTTCGTGATGCTTTTTATCCATGATTGTTGCCGAGTAGTGAACTGATTCATTTATGCAAAGATCCATTTGCAGAAAAGAGCGGTGTACTTCTCGGGGGTGCCGAGGGGTGATTGGCCACAGGCAGTAGACGCCCGGCCACCAAGTCGACCTGAGGAAGATGCAGCCAACATCTCATCGGAGTTCGAAGGCGCAAACACTGGTCGAGCGGAGAGTAGACCCCCGGTGTCGGAGAAAGTCTGGGGGAAGAGGGCAATGGTAGATGAGCTGGCCTGGAAGAAGAGGAAGATGGCGGGTGCTGTCCCCCGCAAGCCGGGCGGCATCTCGCTTGGCGATGACCCGACCACTCAGACATAGAGTGCGGCAATGTCCGAGTGGTCGGATGATGACGAAGTGCCAGTGGCTCCTCAACCGAGCACTGAAGCGCCTCCGCGCAACACACGCGTGGAGGAACAATCAAAGAGAAAGGAGGGAGTCCCTAAGCAGCAGGCAGCGGGAGTCCCCGAGCAGCAGGCGACGGGAGTCCCCAAGCAGCAGGCGGCGGGAGTCCTCGAGCAGCGGGCGATGGGAGTCCCGGAGCGATAGGAGGAGGTGATGCCGATAGCAGAGGCCACAAGACCCCCACCAAAAGGTGTGGGAGTCAACCCTAGGCCCGCGCCTAGGGGCTCTAGAAAGCAACGCCAGTTCAGAAAAGTATACCAGCAAGCCGACATGTAAGTATCATTGCCTTGGAGTTATCTTGGTGTCGTATCCTCATCTCTTTTGGTGACATATGAGCTGATCTGATGCAGTGTGAGGCGTATGGTGGATCTGACCCTACCCGTCCAGGCTGACGAGCAGCCGGGGGCTGATCCCGGGGTGGAGGCAATGCCGGCGGCTCCCGTCCTGGAGTCCCTAGGTGCTCGGCAGCCGGCAGAGGAGTCAACCACCACTGCTGTTGCACTTGGTGGCGGCGAGAGGCTGGCATCGACGGCGGACAGGTCGGCGACGGAGCCCGTTGCAATAGCGGAAGATGCCGGGTCTTTGGGAGCGGAGGCTGGAGTCATCGATGCCGCACCGGAGGCCAGAGCGGAGAAACCTGTAGTGCCCGAGGAGCAAACGGCGCTCCCTGAGGCATTGAAGGGCCGAAAGGATCAAGATGCCCAAGAGGGAGGGGGGTGAAATGGGCTAATTCTAGAATTCTTTGCAATAATTAAACCCAATGGTTAGCCCACTTCACCCCTTGTGCCTGGAAAGTGTTTCTATTGTTCTACCGCACAAAAGTTTAGCAACCTATGTTCCAATCCTACTCTAGCTTGGCAATTCTATGAATGTAAAGACAAGAATTGAATTGCTCAATGTAAATGCTTAAAGTAAAGAGAGAAGAAGGAACGCGGCGATGTTTTGTCAAGGTATCGGAGAGTCGCCACTCCCCACTAGTCCTCGTTGGAGCACCCGCGCAAGGATGTAGCTCCCCCTTGATCCACGCAAGGATTAAGTGTTCTCTACGGGTTGAGTCTTCTACACTCCGTCGCGGTGAATCACCCACAACAGGTCACAACTTTAGTTGTGTCACCCACAAGCTCCGCCGGATGATCACCAAGCTCATAATCACCACCAAGCCGTTTAGGTGATGGCGATCACCAAGAGTAACAAGCATGAACTCTCACTTGACCATGACAAGCCTAATGAGAAGGGTGGATGCACACTTTGCTACTCTTGCTTTCACTAATGAGGCCTCTCTCTTGGATTCTCAAATCTCAATCATCTCACTAGGACCTTGCTCTTTTTGGCACTCTCAAGGGTGTTTCTCAACTGTTGGAATGACCAAAAGTGATCCTTTGAGTGAATAGAGGAAGTATTTATAACCCCTCATTCAAAACGAACCATTATGTGCCACTGCGGGGTGATCAGAGGCTTCGGTCAAGGTGACCGGACGCTCCGGTCAGTTCTCCCCACAACCGAGCAGTTAAGTTGTGACCGGACACTGACCAGTGTCCGGTCAGCACTGACCGGACACGTCCGATCACAAAAACTGCCCTTTGGAACCTTACTGATGTTGACCGGACTCTAGAACCCAGTGTCCGGTCACTTTGCTGCTCAGCATCCGATCAGTAGCCAGAACCTGACCAGCGTTCGGTCAGCACTGCCCGGACATGTTCGATCAGGATTCTCCCTCTCTGGAACCTTACTGGAGTTGACCAGACTCTGGCACCCATTGTCTGGTCACATTTCAATCAGCGTCTGGTCGCATCCAGATGACTTAACCTTGATCAAATGAACTGACCAAACTCTGTGCTAGCATCCGGTCACACCTGAACCAGCATCCGGTCAACATTTGACCCTTCATTCACTTCCAACTCGCAATCATATGTGAATGAAGTTTGCTATAATTGATCTTA